ATTAAATAATTTTATTTAAAAATATAAATATAATCAAAATAAGATAAAATTTAAAAATATAATATGCTCGATAAGAAATATAAATTAATATTACAAAAATATAAAATTAAATATTTATTAATTAAAATTTAATTAATTTTGAGTAAAATTAAAAATTTATTAACTATATATAATGGGGTAAGTTGGGAGTAGTACACTAAGAAATGAAAGATAAAAGAGCATATGAGATGAGATTAGATACTCTATTAATTATAATTGGAAGTGATGTTGAGCGTAGCGACCCATGCAATGCTATAGTTAATTCATTAAATATTCTAGGAAAGCGAGGACTACTGGAAGAGTCTTTACCAATTTATTGATTGTAATTTTGATTGTTTTGAATTATTAAGCCTATATATGTTGTTCTTTCGAAATATTTAAATATATGTTTAACTCATGATCAATTTTTTTTTTTTTTTATTATCCTTGTGAAAAATAATCTTTATGTATATCAAGTGATCGAACAAACATATGAGTGCTTAAAAGGATGTGTTTTATTCATATAAAGTTATTTCAAAACTTATTTTATATTATGCGGATTAATGAATATGAATTTTATTTGCTAAATGTTTAACTTCTCAACCAAGACAAAATTCTATTTTTTTTTTCATATCTTTTCATTTTGAATTCTCCATCCAACCAATCAATTACTTTAGAAAGTTTTTCAAGAGTTCGAGTACATTTAAATAATTCTATATACAATAATTATAATACATTGACAGGTAATTTTTTTTTTTAAATGAAAACATATGAATATATTAAATCATTCTCTTAACATTCATTCAATAAATATTTATTAAGCCAATTATACTAAATATTTTTAAATTGTTTCAATCCATATAAAAATTTTTATAATTAAAAAAAATAGAATTTTTGATAATTTGAACTATATCTCTAGACATTTAAATCTTTTAAGTGATCCATATATACAGTAATTACATTTATTAAATGTAATTTAATGTTTTATTGTAATAACTTAAAAATACTTCTGAATTAATTTTATATATTTAATATATTTAATTTAGCTTTACATGTATTTAAAATTATATAATTAGTTTAAGGACATAATATAAAGTCAAACGGAAAAAAGATGGATAAGGATGAAGAAGCTAGAATAAGCATGATGTAACACCCACCAAAACTTTTTTTTTTTTTTCATTTTTTTATTAATAAATATAATTATTTATTTATCTAATTAATTTATTATATTTTAATTTAATAAAAAGTGGTAAAGTTTATCAAGGATTAAATTGAAAATAATTTTGAAAAAAAGGATGAAAAATTGGGTTCGGGAGATATTTTTGAAAGAAAAATCAGAAACCGGAGGTCAAAACGCAATTTATAAGAATTTTACCACGTCAGACGCCCGTTCAGCAGGGGCGACCAACCAGGACGTGCCAAGTGGCAGAGGCGTTGATGCGGGAGGCCACGCAGGGGGAGCCACGTGGGTAATCTGCGTGCACGCGATCGAACGGCTGAGGTCCGTTCCCGCGCGCACGAACGACCCAGAGTGAATCGCATACGGACGACCCAGATTGTATCGCGATAAACGGTCCAGATTTACTTCCTATTTAATCGTGATCGGACAGTCTAGATTAAACGCGATGGACGGCCCAAATCAAAAGCGGATGGGTATAACTAACCCCATCTGCACCCAAACCATAACCCTAGCTGCTAGAACCCCTCGCCGGAGAAGACAACCCAACTGCCCGGGAGCCGACCGCCGTCACCCACTGCTGCACCGGAACCATGTTCGACCGCCAAAAAAGGTAAAAAAATTTCTTTTTGCATGAAATTCTATTTTAAACCTACCCATGGCCAAATCAAAGTGAAAGAACAGACCAATTGGTGGAAGAACACCGATGCAGCCCGGTAGCGCCGTCATAGAGAATTTCACAAATCGCCTCCGATGAGGCTCTTCTCGATTCTCGTTTCGCGTAATTTTTCCACTTTGTGATCACCGTTTTCTTCTCTACAGGTTGACCGAAGTGAAATACCCAACCGCAACGTGAGTCGGAGGAGCCGTCGCACCAGAGAGCCCCGCCGCCGGTGAGTTTTGATTTTTCATATTTTTTCGGCCCATTGAGGCCCTTTAGCGTGTGTGCTGGTAGGAATCGATGCAAAATTAGTTGAATTCGGCAAAAAACAACCGATCCGAGGCGAACCGCTGCCGGAGCATGGCGGAGCCACCGTGCCGGACTTTCGAAATTGACCGAGTGGGCCCTGGGACTGATTTTGGGTTTATTTAGAACATTTGTAGGTACTATAAACGCATTTCAGTTCCCGGAGAAAAATTTAGGAACCTAGGGATCGCCCATAGGCGCAGTAAACTATTTAGCCTTTCGGTGCAAATTGAGTAAGGATCCCTTACCCTATTTCCTATCATAGAATTGAAGTTTAAATAAATAATAATATGGTATTTTGTACAAATTAAATAGATGTGCATAACTAATTACGAATTGGTAATAGAGCCCGAATCGGATATTGTTCTCTGTTGATTTATTTTACAGTTTAAAAGTATGATAGTATCTGATTTATCTATTTTATGGTTTAAATGCATGTATTTTTGCCTTACCTAACCATTGTTTGATTTGAAATTTGAGACATGATTGCATTACCGAATGCATGTTTATTTATTTATGTGATTATGTTTGATTTGGTAATGGAGACTAGAGGAAAATAAGAACGGGGTGTAGTCAAATAAACAGATGGAATGACAGTCTTACTAGATATTCTGAGAGATGATGGACGGACCGGGTACATGGGGAACCCTACCGTGAATGTTGTCTCATACTGAACGGGGTATGGAGACTTGGTAATTTAGCGCTCATACTGGACGGGGTATGGGGACGACCCGCTTCACCTTCATACCGGACAGGGTATTGAAGTTTAATGTCTTGGCGCTCATACCGGACGGGGTATGAGGACAGCCCTGTAATTAAGATTGTTAAAGGAAATGGTTCATGTGTAGCGGAGATATATTTATGAACCCCCTTGAATACTAGTAGGCTGGTGAAATGATAAACGATTATGATTTGGTTTATTGTTAATGGATATGAATCTATGATATATTCTATGTTGCTGATTATTCATAAAGTTATGATCTGTATAATATTATTGTCTCTATAGATTGTTTTCATAAATTCTACTATGATAAGTGAAGTGTAAATGATTTTATGATTGATAAACGAATTTGCTAAATTTAGTGCTCCATTAGTTGTTTTGATTTTATACCAACCTTTGCTTATGTGTGGGTGATAGAGTGTGACATCCTTACTAGGTTAGTGTAGCTCATCCTTTATTTCACAATTTCAGATCAAGAGGACTTGGTTCCATAGCCCGATCTGTAGAAAGATTGCGAGTAGATACTAGATACTTTTTATTTTTCATTACTTTTCTTATTTATCGTATTTCTTTCAGAGAATGCATTCCGTAATGTTTATTTAGTACTTTTAAGTTATTGTGTAAGGAATGTAAATCTTAACCTTTTATTTCGCTTCCGCACTTCAATTATTATATATTTTCTTTTGGATTTTCGGGACTGTTACAGTTGGTATCAGAGCCGCGTTCTTCGGACCCGTTCCTTACACAATGATACTTAGAGAAACACCAAACCAATGAATTATCACTCAACCCTTCCTTATGAAATGTAGGTACAGAGAGATGAGGAGAGGAAGACCCCCACTAAACCGAGCAGCCCGGGATGGTTCGCTTAGAGAAGATATTGACAGGATATTTGAGATGTTGGAGAGACTCATTGCTGCCCAGCAGGGCCGAGAGGAGAGGAGGGAGCTACCTGACCCTCCCCCACTGCCACAGGTTGAGCCACCACTGCAGCGAGAGGATCCTGAGCCACACCGGTACGACCCTGCTCCTTCATAGTACCACTCGGCACCATTACAGTATGATCCGGTGTCCCAACTATAGTACCACCTGACACCGCTGTAATACAATCCGGTGCCCCCACCGTATCAACAAGTACCACCACAGGGCTCCCCCAGTCTATCCTCAGCCTGGCCCAGTCTATCCTCAGCTTGGCCCAGTCCCTCTTTCACGGGACCCAGTTCCTCCCATGATTGATCCAGGCTACATAGAGAGGTACAAGAGACTAAACCTATCTACTTTTGCAGGGGGATCATCTTTTAAAAATGCCGAGTACTGGTTGGCAGAGACATAGAAGGCCTTCAAGACCCTAGGGGTGACTCCCGAGTAGAAGGTTTCCCTTGCTACCTACATGCTAGTGGGAGAAGTAGACCACTTATGGGAACTCAAACAGACCACCCTGC